TTCAGTTTTGCAGATATCGAGGTAACATTAGGTGTGGTAGTTGCCGAGAGGCGTTCATGACACAAACTGCTGATTCAGAGGCTGACTGGTTCTTGTTCAGCCGTCCTTCACCCTCACTGCTCATATGTTCGCAGAGTTGTGTAAAACTGACGTTTTCCACTGGTGGAAACAACCTTTGTCATTTTTAGCCAACAGGGAGAAGCACGAGTTGTTTCTGTCCGCCGTCTTTAATTGTTCTCCTGCAGTCATGACTGTGGGATTACATAATCCACAGAAAGGCAGCGAGCCGCTGATCCACTGCCCTGTGACCATTACTGTTGTTGTGACTCACAAGCTGTGATTTGGCAGAACAACGTCTACATGCTTCAGAGTTATAGTTTAACTTCTGGCCTCAGAACCTGAACAGCTGCTTTTATTTATGTGGAAAAGAATAAAATAATTTTATGGATCGGCAGACGAGGGACTTTAAGAGTAACAGATTCAGGAAGCTTGATTACCTTCAGCAGTGGTCCGTCTTCGTTTGGCCACGAAAATGACGTCATTTTAAGCAGCTGCTCTCAAAATCCAGACTTCAGTCCAGATCTGGACCTAGAAACGAGCCCACATACGTTGACTAGTTCTCAGTAAAGATCTCATTTAAGAGATGTGGTGTTTCATGTGCCCAGTGTTTAAAATCGAGGCTTATGTTCATGTTCACGGCTCACAAAACCGTAATCTACTCTTCTAAACTGCCATTTTCCCTCCAGGTTGCTTCGTAGTTGAACTTGTTGCGTGCACGTTTGTGTAGATGCTCAGTCATCTAGAACTTTGTGAATCCAGTTGGAAAACAACAAGACAACTGGACCTCTGTCCTGTTAGTTGAAGACTTTTGGCTTCCTGAAGTGAATGGAGAAGATCAGGAATGAGATCATCAGAGGTACAGCACAGGTTGAAGGACTGGGAGATAAAGTTAGAGAGGACACACTGAGATGGTTTGGACATGTCCAGAGGAGGGACAGTGGTTTGGACATGTCCAGAGGAGGGACAGTCATTTGGACATGTCCAGAGGAGGGACAGTCGTTTGGACATGTCCAGAGGAGGGACAGTCGTTTGGACATGTCCAGAGGAGGGACAGT